ATTACGCGCCCGGGGGGGGGGGGGGGGTAGGCAAACACGGTCGCTTCGCGTGCGGACGGGTTTGTGTGGAACAAGAAAGCCATACACTACACACAACATGCTGCGTGTTTTATCTTCTTTGTAGCTGGTTTGCGCCCGTAGCAGCAACGCTGTAATGTACCCTATCCCTATCCCTATCGTCGTCGTCGTCTAACCTCCTCAAAAGAAAGGCACATCAACACACAACGCCCAAACCGACCTGAGGGGTCGGGCGCAGCACCCCGCCGGTGGAAACGACCGGGCTGCTGCTGTACTGCAGGTCTGGGTCGTCCAGGAGAGATGCCGTCGTCGCCGCGGTACCGCCAGGGCCGTCGCCGACGGCACTGCTCTTGCTACCGCCGCCCTCGTACCCAACGCCGCTGCCGCCTGCTGCCGCGGCGGAAGAAAAGTCTTCTGGGACGCCCCCCATCCCGCCCAGCTTCCGGTGTAGCTGGTGTCGGAGGGAGGCGGAAGCGTCGTGGAGGGCGGAAAGCTTGGCGGCGCACTGGTCGCTCTCGTTCCGGTAGAACGCCCACATCCGTTCCAGCTCCTGCATGGTGGGGGGGAGCGTCACCATAGCGGTCGGGGTTAGGTCATGTGGATATTGGCAGCATCTTCGGTGTTGGAGAGGTGCGACATCGGCTTGTCTTCTTTCCTCAAAAAGGAGAAGATCTCAACATTTTAGTGGTGTGAACGTCGTGTGTTGACTCAGGTTCTCCGACCAGTTCGTGCCAAGAAAAAGAAACAGACGCTTTCGTTCGTCATCGCCAGCGTTGTGCTGCGGATAAAAACGGATGCCCTCTTGAATGGGAGGTGTTGCCCGATGCTGCACGTTAACGTGCCAACCTGAGGAACGAGTCTAGTAGGAGGCGCCCGGACATCTTCTTGTCTTTTCCAGCCGTCATCTTGTGACCATTTTTTTCGAGGTTGAACGTATGCGGGGGAGCAGACGCGGGCGTCACTACAGCAGCAACACGCTACGGAGCATGTCGAGGTCGGCTATTGTAGAGCATGCCAGGTGTTGCTGGTCAAGACAAGGAGAGGCCGGTTGAATCAGGCGGAAGCGCGAAATGCGAACATCTATGCAGAGACAGTACAAGGTGAAAGGAATGTCGGGCTTGCGGGACAACTATCACCCTCGTTACCGCTCCGACAGAACCCGCAAAAAAAGCGAGGTCTTCAAAACAGTTTCAGGCCCACAGCCCGCGTAGCGGTCAACCCGCAAGACTTCGCCCGGTTTGTTCCGGCTAAGAAGCGCATTTGCAAGACCTCTGTTCGGATTGGGGACTGACAAGCCCTTTACAACGAAAGAGCACGGGTGAGAGTTGTACGGTGCTCTTCGCGGCTTTACTAGATAGTTTACCCTTGCCTCTGCCTCTCTCAAGGGGATCTGGCCCGGCTGGGTGTGCGTGGCGTACGGGAGCGTTGCCAGCAAAAAAAAACACAGATGTTGGCAGACACGACACGGCATTTCGTTGAGGCAGTATGGGGTCGGGTCTACTTTGCGGACTGACCAACAATCTGACGATAGCCAGTCCTCGCGTACATTCCCAACTCTCTTGTTGTTGCCATAAAGTGCGCTGAGGTTCATCTTGGCAAAATCGAAGTACATGTAAACAAGTCGCATGAACGTTGCATTTATAGCACGGTCGCAACCAAGTTCTCATGCCGCCGCGTGTGCCGTTGCTAACGGGGGTACACAAACTCAAAATGATCGCGGTTCACCGGAAAATAATGTCGATACTCTCCAACGGAAACCATCAGAGAAGGGGCAAAGCCCTCAAAGGAAACTGCAGCAGTTGTACAGCAGCAGTGGGGACGTAGTGGCCAAAGATGAGGAGCGAAGATTCAACCTCGTTGCTACAGCAGTATGTATCTCAAAACAGGCGTGATCTTTGTTGAGATCTCGAACTCAGATGCATATCGCCCTCTTGGGGTTTCGATGAACAACACACACACATACACACACACACACGGCAGTTGTCAACCCGTTTTACACAAAAAGCCCTAGACACGTTCCTCGTGATGTGTTGTTCCAAACCGGGTACCGCCCTTTTTTGCTGATTCCACGAACGAACACGTCCATATTTTCGTGACAGCAGCAGTTGGTGCATCACGGCAGAGAGAGAACCCGTCATGTACATGCGATCTGTCTAATGCTTCGAAGTGAAGGAAGTACTCCTGTGAGTAAACCGGGGGTCCGCATCAAGCATGCATGCAGCCAAAGACACCATGCCGCACCACCTGGACGACCTCCACGCCCAGTCGAAAGAAAATGGTTCGTGAGTCATGATATGTACACCGAGGCACGTCAGCAGTACTTTTTTATTTCATCAGTATGCATATGCATACAATGACCCAACGAATCCATCTCTATCGAAGAAAAAGAGTCTAAGATAGAGTAGCAATGGATCCAGAGCGTCAGCGAAAGTTAAAGTTCTGTTGGTCAGTTTTTCCACGATTTTTTTCACTTTTCTTCGCGGCCTGACTTGGATCCTTACGCCACAAACAACAACCCCAAAACACCGCCCGTTAACACCGCCAGAAGAAGTCAATGCACCGTGCGTGGTTAGGTGTTACACGCATAGGTTGGCGCGCACGCTGGACCGTGCAAAATAAGGGTGCAGTACGGCAACCTTGTATGGAAAGGTGGGTGCATGGAGACCATCACCCAACTCGACGAAAAACAGCGGTACAACTGCTGCTGTATAGCAGTCTACCAGCAATATACCTATACATGCCGTATGCCGTATCATGCGCTTCTCATATGTAATTTACCTCGTTTATCTCGAAGATAAACACCCTGCTCGCCGGGTCGGGAAAGGCGAGCGATATCCGTCCCCCACCGCCGTCCGCTGCTCTCCGCCTCCCCCAAGCGCTGCTGCCGCGGCCGCCGCCGCCGCCGCTAGCCGTCCCGCCGTCGCCGATTCCTCCCCGCTCCGCCTTCAGCAGCGCCTCCTGCTGCTCCAGGTCATCGAGCCCGGCGGATAGATCGTCGCTTCGCGGGCCAACAGCGGGTGGCGAGGAGGAGGAAGCGCCGTTGTTGGTGGTACCACCCTCGCCGGTCGCTGCCGCTGATGCCTCGTCCGGCGAGGCGGTGGTCATGGTCATCATGGAGGGGTGGTCGTCGTACGGGTCCGGAGGATCGTCGATGAGGCGCCGCTTGAGGGCCCGGAAATTGAGGCACTGGACGTACCAGTCACGGAGGTCCGTGTGGCTCTCCTGCCAAGAAGAGGCCGCATCATGGTGTGTGTGTAAGCGCGTGCGGTTCTCGAGGCAAGGAGGGTCGATAGGGTGTGTCGATGATCACGCCAAAATGTGTGACAAACACAAATATTCTTGTAAAATAGTTTCCCCGCGTTTTCGCCCTCCACAGCAAGACGTGGCACGGGCTGTACGAGAGACGGCACTGTGTGAGAGAGAGAGGTGGAGAACGGGCGTAGAACAGGCCAGTGTATACGGTCTCCGCGGGGGAGTATCACGGAAACGTGGATGAGCTGACACAGGTTATCATATCTCTCTGGGTCACATGCACTCCACAGCAAGAGAGCAGAACATTCGACAATCGGAGGAAATGCACCACAGCCCAACATGGTCCTGTATTGGCGTGCTGGTGAACCCGCTGCTCCAACAGAAAGGAACCTCACCTGGGCGAACCGACCCATGATCGCGTGTGCTTTCTCGTGCCTCTCCTGTTCAGTGTGGTATCATACGCTGGAGGACAGGGAGCCTCCCACAGGTTGGCACGCTCAGTCACGGACCAACTCTCCCCCCGCACAAAGCACAAAGCAGACGAGGGGGGACGGCAGATAAAACTAATCGAGTAACACCCTGATAGGGGGGGGGGGGGCGTGATTGAAAGAGCCATTCCCTGAGTGTTCCGAGCACGAGGTGACGACATCTCCCCACAACGCATACACGCGACGACGCTCTTCTCGCTTGCTCTCTCCGCCCAGCAAAGGAAAATCACCAGCGAGTGTTCATCGGTGCGGTTCGTCAGCGATCACCTGGTTTGCCTCCCCCTGTTCCTCTCTCTCTCCTTGCTTCCCCCGGAGTTTTTTGCTTCAAGAAAAGAAAGGAGACCGGCGAAACGAACCCCACGGAAACACCCCAGCGGCGACAACGACCAACACAAGCAGCTGCGCTGTGTGTTTCCGTCTTTGCTCCGCGCCGTCAACGCCCACCGCTTCGCCTCTGCCTCGACGTCGACATGTTCGCCCTGCGCTCCTCTCCCTCCTCCCTGGTGTGCGACATCCGCGACGGCTGGGCCGCCACGTCCACCGCCGTGCTCTCGGCCCCGCGCCCGCGGCGCGCCTCCGTCCGGCTCATCTACCCACACTACGACTCGCCGCCGGCGGCGGCGGCCGACGACCGAGCTGCTGCTGCCGGTGGAGATGACGGCGGCAGCGTCAGCAGCGGCGGGAGGAGCGCCTTCTCTCCGGCCGTCTCTGACTACGCGGGCGTGTTCGAGGCTGGCTTCGACCCCGCCCAGGTGAGGGCTTCGATGTCTAAGGAGGTGGTTGAGGTTGGACAAGCGTGGGCGCCTGCTGAGGCGATGGCAGCAGAGGAGGCTGCTGCTCTGGTGGTCGAGGAACGTCGAGCATTCGCGGCCGGCGGCGGCGGCGGCGGCGCGCGGGACTGCAGGGAGTGGCGCGACGGGGACGACGGCGACGACGGGGCGGGAATCAGCCGCGGCCAGCACGCGGCGGCCCGCAGCAGCGCCGCAGCACTGGCTGCCGGAGGTAGTGTTGCTCGCAAGGAAGAGGACTCCTTGTCCTGCTGCGAGGAGGAGGAAGACTTTCTGTTCGACATGGAAGGGTTGAAGGAGACCACTCTTGAGGACCAGCTGGAGGACAGCAATAATAGCAACCGCCGCGATAGCAGTGGCAGCAGCAGCATGCGTGCCGCCACCGCCGCGGCCGCCGCTGATTATTATGGGTTACAGCAGGGGCGGGGGCTGGGGTGCGACTACGACAGCGGCGGCGGCGGCGGTGCCTGCGGAGGTCAAGGGACGCAACGGCGGCGCCTCCTGCCGCGGTGTTGTCCCGCAGCAGCAGGAGGGAACAACGGCAAGAACCGCCGCCGGCCGCGGTCTATCTCCTGCCGCTGCTGCTGGGGGGGGGGGGGCACGCGAGGTGTCTTACGCTGGTTTCAAGGGCGCCCCGCTGCTGCGCACGCCACGGGTGATCGCTCCCCGGGGAACGCGGTGCGTGACCGGGGGAATGTACAGACTGAGGCTCAGCACGTCGTGCTAAGATGAGTTACCTATCAATCGGAGGTGATGATGATGTTAAAAATTCTATTAAGACCGCCGGGGGGGATGGTTATTGTGCGCCACAGCAGTGGGCATCTTGGACGGGGGTCTCTCTTTCTGTCTCGTACGAGCGAAGTATATGTGGCCTTTATGTCTGTGGGTCCAAAGCATATAGTAGTCTGTCTTGTAGTCGTATGCCCTTTATGAAATAGTTAACGCTAAGCGCCTTTTGGCTGGCCGGTTTGTGTGTGTGTGTGTGTGTTTGTGTGGCAGCACTCGTCTGTGGGGTGCGTCGTGTTGGATGATGGTATGATATGCTCCATACGCTGTCTCGCTATTTCCCGCCCCTTGTACCTTGTTTGCTTTATCTCTCGTCGCTCGAGAGCCATGCATGCCCCCCCCTGTCTATCTCCCCTGCATGCGGCACGCCTTGCCTTTTGTCGTGTCTTGTCGTTATTCGCGCATAAGATATCATCTCGCATTGACCCCCACCGCTCCCAGGGGGAGGGCGCTCTTAAGGCGTTGCTTAGAGAGGTGAGGGCGTTCTCGCATGACACCTGTTGCGTGCGCCCTTATTGGCTGTTTTGTTTTATTAATCAAAGAGCGTGTCGTGCCACCGGGGAAGGGGCGGGGGGCGGATTTTGGGGTGTTTTTTGTGTGCGCGTGAATGTGGTAGTGGTTTTTCTCTCTTTCTTTTTCTTTTTTCTTTTGTCTCTCCTTATTTTTGCCCTGTCATTCGGCGCTCCTTCGCCCCCAGGCGCGTATGCCGCTGTGCGCTTTCTTGCTTGCACCTCTCGAGAATAGCCCAGCATTCATTCTTGGTGTGCGTGCATCCCATCCCATCCATTCCTGGCTGACCGCTGGAGTTGACCTCTCCGTGTCATTCATGCCCAGCTGTATTTTTTTTCTGAAGCGGGAAATCGTAAGAGAAAGGAGGATGCCGGGCGAGTTCCGTGTGTAGATGGAGAGTGCGTCATGCGTGCGTATCGCTCACTGCTGTAGAGCGGCCTGTAGGGCGAACGATACACGACCGACTTTGTGGGGGTTATTAGGGAGGGGGGAGGTGCACTTTCTGCCCCCCCCCCCCCCGGCCGTTAGTTGCTGTGTCTTTTGTGCGCGGTCTTGTTCCCCTCTCACGACAACGGGAGGTTTGGAAAGGAGTGCGCCAGTGATAATGCAGGGTTGTGTCCATGCTGTTTCCCCGTACTATTTGTGCTATTGTCAGGCACGCGTCACGTATGGTGGCAAAGCAGCGAGAGCGGCAAAATGTGTACACTCGAAAATTACAGCAGTCGGTGTTGTAGAGCACTACAAAAAGAGGATGCGCCGACCTAATGTTGAGGATGGTGCTGTATTTTCTCGTCGTCTTTTGTCGTTTTTTTTTCCATTTTTGTTGTCGTTTTGGTTTCTATATGAGCAAGATGGAGGTCGTGCGAGAGTACTTCTCCACAAACAGCTGCAGACTTGGGCCAGGGTTCACAAGGAGTGGAGAGGGCAGTA